CCCCCCCCCCCCCCCCCTCCCAAGCCCTACTCTGACTATCGAAACCCCTATAGTACACACCACGAGCATGGCCTGAAATCACCACGCTCTGTTCGCAAAGTTTCGACATTGCAGTTCTGCAGCCCGTTCGAGTTTTGGTCTTATCCTGGCATCCGATTTCATAGTACATGCTCTCTCATGTCATGGACAAGCATTCATCTTCAGACCCCACTTACCCCATAATTGCCATTGCCTTCACGAAAAAAGGCTATGTGCTCGCAGGCTTTGTGCCGAGCTCTGTCTGGAACAGCCCACAGTACATCTCACGGCCAGAACCTATACCGAAGCTATGTCTACAACCACACTGAAAGTCCTCACAGTAAAAAACACGACGCAGTAACCCGACCCCGATACATCCGACGAAACGAAAACGATGTCACAAAAAGTCAAGCAATGTAGGTAGGGGTTGGTTTAAAGTTTAGCGTTTAGGAAAAATCTAGTAGCAGTAGCATCCCCTTGTAGTCCCTAATATATTATCGCTATAGTCATACGGCGGATGATCTAAATCCTGCATTACCCATAATAAGGAATATACCGTAATTCCCATAGTTTAGGGTCCTTAAGGTAATGCAGGGTTTATATCATCAACAGTAGTACAATGGACCTTAACACCAAGTTCTAGTTAGGTACTAGTCATGGCCCCTCTGTGGGAAGCCAGGTTCATATCGCCAGGCCAAAGCGTTTCTGTTCCAACCAGCTGGCTTTTCCCTTGTAGAGCATCGATGATGATGTTCCCAACCACACCCGAGCCCTCGTGGTCCTTCACTTCGCATCTAGTCTAGGCCATGATAGAGGGGGTACTTGGCGGGTCCAGGTAAGCCCCTGAAGCCTAAACCATAAATCCTATAAGCCCGAAACCCAACATAGCCCAAGTTCTGAATGCAGTATATGCTGAAGTAGGGTGACGAGAGTAGTGACATGGCTGTACGATCACGTCCACCCGAAGTCTTGTATCCCTTCTGACACTACTCATAGCTAGGAACCTTTGGCCGCTGCACTCGCTGCGAGATGGGAGCATCCGAGCTGCTAACCACGCTGGAGCCCGAGCTGCTTCGTGGAGTGCCCTTGCACGTCTGCTTGGGAGGGTGGGCAAAGCATTGGAAGCCACCAGACCCTGGCATGTTCCGTGTTGACGCAGCAAACTACGAGCTGAGTCGTCAAGCCGACTTTTTCGATGATTTCCTCAGTCACGACTGGCAAACATCCCGCTGGACCAAGCTGTGCACTCTCCTCGTTGTCTACAACTCACGAGCAGCACTTGTGGCAGCTATTCTGGCTTGCCCCTTGATCGCTGCAGGTCGGATTGTCGGAGTGCTGCCAAATTCTGATTTGAGCTCATGCTTGGTTTATGTCGTTCACTTGTTTTTCTTATGTTTCTGGCAGAAACTCCGAAGCACCGTGCTTCCACCTATCGTAGTCTTTCTGGACAAGCTCTGCATTGTGCAAAGTCCTGAACAAGCTGAGCTGAAGAAGAAGGGTATTCTCGGCTTAGCTGCTTTCCTCAACCATTCCAAGCGGCTGGTGGTTCTGTGGTCGCCAAGGTGCTTCGGCCGAATTTCCCGAAGGGCCCGAGTCGAGCACTCGCTCTTAGATCGTTAGGGAAAGTTTGCGACTCTCCATCGCATAGACATGCTGGCTGCACCAACATACTTGTATGTATAGGAGTTGCATGAGACTTCGCAGGTCAGGGGTAGATAGTCGTCATAAACCCGAACTTCCAAGTCGTCGCTCGTTCACAGTCCTCTGAATCCTACCTTGCTAACCAAGCCTCTTTTCAAGAGGCTAGGTATCTTTGTCTAAACTCTAAACGGCCGACAACCTTGAATCTTGCCCGCGCAGAGACACGCTGCCGAGGTACTTCAGCAGTCTCTAAGCTGAACCTGAACATCACTTTGCGGCTTTGTTGCTTAGATATCGCTCTATATGGAGAATGAACGGAAAACCTTCTGGTTTGCAAAAGCAGCCCAGGACTATGGTGTGCATACGAGATTGCCGCATTCCTGACGGATCACAACAAGCACAAGCACATATTGATCATGCCTGTGCATGCTGGTATCACCATTACATCGGCCTTCTTTTTTTTCAGCTGGGTGACCTCCTCTCTGCTCATCGTTCTGGGACTGCTCGAGTACGGTACTCTCGGGGTTCAGCTTGGCCAGGATCTCTGGGCTGTCGCTGGAGGGGCTTTGGGCTGGATGCTTGGTCCTGTAATAGTAGGGAAAAAGGTACCCTTCTAACTAAGGAGCTACTGGGGAACCTAGGATACTTGGTCCTGTAATTCTCTTCGGCTTGCCCTTCGCCACCTTCAGCGTACGCATGGCCAAGCAGCTGCAGCATGTGCCGGAGCAGCTGAAGACCTTTGAGGTCCAGAATGCTGCGTGTTTCTGTTGCGCAAACGACCACAAGCACCCGGACACAGGATTGCGCACAGTACTTCAAAAAAAATGCTCTTTTTCTCCATTTTGCGGGTGCCGGTGAAGGCCAGTGAAGCTCACAGACGTAGTTTGATCACCGATATTTTACAGCCTGGCCTCAAGTGCGTGAACCCTAGATCCCCCGACCTCTCGATGTGCTATATCCTCCGATTCGAAGCTCTCTGAACCTGTTGAAGTTTTGATTGGGAGGTTTAAGATACCTCCTTGTTAGCGGGCCTTGCGAAGGATTACAGAAGGCTTTTGCAGGGCTCTGTAGGGTCTAGACGGGTTTAGCGAGTTGTTACCGGAAAACCCATGCGTGACTATTTATCAGGTGCTGGCTTTCGCGACCTTATAAGGAAACCCTTCTTTGCAGAGCTACCTTATGCAGAGACCCCTCAAATCTTTGGGGCTCCAAGTAGCCCAAAGTAGGTAGCTTTTGTAGACGATAGAAATCCCAAGGTAGCCACTATTTGTGTACTTGAAGCCTTTGGGAAGGAGATACTCTGAGCATCCATCCGCAGGAGCCGACATCCCATGTGATCGGGAGCTGGTCTACCGCAAGCTGGAAGACTGGTATGGCCGCCCGACGGACATAGGCGACGAGCATCTGCGGAGATTCAACTCTCTTGTTCATCACAGGCCAGCCGCATGTCTAGAGACGTCGCGATTGAGGATGTCTTGGACTTCACCTTGCTAGTAGGGGTGAGTTACATGCAGACCCTGCCAGCCCTGATTCCCGCATTTCGTTCCGTTCAATCAATACGGGTCTGCCCTGTGAGGTTGGGGCGCTCCGTGCTGAGACAAATGCCGCACGCCGTCCCCACCGCGCCTCTCATCAAAATGCTGAGTGCTGCCACTATGCCATGGTTCGCAGACGCGATCGAGAGGATACTTTGGCGCATATTCAGACAGGACGGGCACGATACTCTGGAGTATTCTTGGCAACCTGTCGAGGGGCACGATTCTCTGGAATATTCTTGGCGCCCTGTCCTCGAATGGGCATTTGTGGTCACACTGGTCATTGTAACCGGTTTACTGGCAGTGACATTGTCAACTGTCTTTGCCCGCATGTTTCCAAACGTCCGGGACGTTTGGCTGGGGCTGCTGAATCTCACTGTCTGTGCTGTGCCGGCAGCCTCTGTCACCAGTGCCTTTTTCTTGCTGTCATTCGTCGCAGCTGATGCATGGCCTGCAACCATCGTGTTCATCGTAACGCTGCTCCTGGGATCATGCTTGCTGCGGCTCACCTTAACAAATCGACAACAGGCAGGTGCGTCTGAAGAGCTTGACGCCATGTCTGACGGGACCTCTACGACGCATTCCCTTCAGCTTGTAGCAGAGTCTTTAGCGGCATCGGAAGTCGACCATGGGTGCATCCCGCGCGTGCCCTCCGATGT